AGAAAATAGAATAGAGTAATTATCTAAACTCAAGTATCTAGCATACAGAATGGAAATAAGAAGAGAAGATCTGCATACTAACCCTGACCAATTCTGTGGAGGAACCAGCATCGGCATATATGGAATCACCATATGTCTAGCCTGTTCACGAGAAAAGATTTACTGTCATTATATGTAATTCCTCTATGGCAATTGATTATGTAAGCAGGAGAATCACAGTATCACCCAACGGGCAATGAGTATCTGTGAAATACTGTACTCACAGTTTTATCTAAGCCTTTACGAACAAGTGGATCACATTGAATCACACCATATCTTCTGCTACCTTTCCTGTAATCACGGAAGCCACAAAAGAAATCAACAATGAATGGTTCGGAAATGTTATCTACATCGAACCCCATGATGAAAAGAGTGGATTTCTTTTCTTGTTTACCTCTATTTCTATTGAGGCAACTGAGGGAAAGGAATTCATCGAGTTAAGTTTGTACTCACACTGTTTCTACAGTTTTGAGGGTGTGCATAAATGCTGGCCGAATATCTGGAGGACAATCATCTAACTGGTCATTTGGAGGCTGTATATAGGCGGTTTCTATTAATATCTGAATCAATTTGCAGCCAACCTATAGAAAGGCATTACTTTCAGCAAAAAAAATAATCACAAACTACTATAAATACAAGGGCATGCCCAGGAAAGGAAGCTCCAATACTGATCATACAAAGGTGCCGAAGGGAAGACACTGTTGAAGACAAACCTTGACAAGGTTGTCCTGGCCCCAAGGCTTTTCATCATCTTGCTGCTTCACAATCTTTCGAACCTGCTGCAGCTTCTGTTTCTTCATCAAGATTTTTACTTTTTTCCTCAGCCTCTCTCTTTCTTTCATTATATCACCAGCTGTTTCTTCCAAGGACCCATCCAATGCATTTTTCTTTGTCTTCTCCAAAAATCTATGTATTCTGGCCTGAGAAGGAATTGAAATAGGACCAATGAACTACACAAGCATGGCTGAACAGCTCTCTTTTTGTTATATACTTTTTGATTAGTCATGAGAGATGCTTCTGAACTTAGGCTAGCAAATGGAGACAACATAAAAAGGAACCATGAAGTTCCCAATAGCCTAAAATAGCCATTGATTCAACGCCACTATATACAGAGAGGTCATTAATGTAACAGAAGAACATACAATACAAGAACTCATAAGACAGGTTGTACTTCGAGTGCCTGTAGTTTGAGTGGCAAGTGTCTTCTGTCTAATAGGAACACTTCATCATTTGTTTAGATGTTCAATCAAAACAAGTTGTAGTTCAAGTGTCTAAACAAAATTATGGGCAGTCGATGTATTCAGCATTCTGATTTTAGTTAATTTTTGGACACGCACGAGATTCCATTGAGTATTGATGATACGGTGCTCATTGTGGAGAACCATGTTTTATTGTAGGTTCTACCACTTTTTGTACACCACTTGTATACAGTATACCAGGGTTTTCTCCCAAACAAACAAAAAGAGAGATTTTGGCAGCCTTATTTCACCCATATTGATACTGCATCATAATACATTTGAAACAAGGAAATGGAAACTTATTGCAGCCTCTCCAAGTTCCATTGACATTTTTATTTTTTTTATAATGGTAACTAAGTTCCATTGACATTTTCAGTGAAAAGATTGCAATAAAATTAAACAAGTTATCGCAGAGAAGGAAAATACAAGTTTGCATAAATCAATACAAGACAAGCACACAAAAGGATATAAAATCAACTGGAATATCACCCTAACTAAGCAACTTTTCCCCTCACCATCCGGGATGTAAAATTTTAATCTATTTCAATTCATGTGTTTGTGCTATCGCTTTCTCCAGCCTATTCTTTCCAGATGAGGGGCACATGGTCACTAGAAACCCCATAGGACAAAATTTTAGCTTCCTAAGAGATAATGAAACACCAATATTTCGCTCCAATAGAGAATCTGCTGGCATATGTTGCTATGAGGTTATGTTGATTACTCTAAGGAACATACAACAAATGTAGCAGAGAATAGAGTCATTGACTACAATGCAAGTATAAAAAAAATCCCCAATGGACAGAGACGAACCTCGTGCTCAATTGCTTCACCAATGTGGGAAGCAGCTTGCACCACTCTAGCACTACCACTTCCTCCACCAGTCATTAGCAACCCCATCAACTTGTGCATTGTAATCACAGCCATCATTTCAGCAGGCAACTGATCAAAGAAGGGAGCATAAGCCCCGCGGTTCTTACCTTCATCACACAACTTCTGTTCAGCAGCTATGGCATCCCTCAATGGCTCAAACCAACCCAAGAACAAAGATTTAATATAGGGCAAGTTTGGCGCCAGCTTTTGCTCACACATATCCATCAGCAGCTCCTGATACTCCTTAGCCGCGTCTTCCCATGCTTCAGTTTCTACCTTTATCTGCCTTCTCCTAAGCAAATTATACTTCCCAATCCCCATCCCACCTACTGTTTTCGGCTGCTTTGGCTGCAAATTGGTCTTCAAAGCCTCATTTTCTTTGTTCATTTCCTCAATTAATTCTTGAATTTCATCAATATCTTCTTCAGATGTAGAAGCAATAGCCTCTGCAGCACTACCATAACTCCTCAAAATTCCTAAAGATCCACAAACTCGAAAATCTCCTTTAACTCTAGAAAAGATTGAACTTTCAGAGAAACCCAAGTAGTGATTCCTACAACTATCTTCACACATCCCATCTAAACATCTACTTTTTCCATTAACTCTAGTAAAGATTGAACTTTGAGACACACCCAAGTTGGGATTCCTATAAATTTCTTCACACAACCCTTGTAAAGGTCTAGTCTTTCCAAAAGACTGAGCAAAACCAAGAAAATCTGAATCATGGGTATTCCTCAATTTTCTTGAATAAGCTTGTTTAGATATGTATCTCCACATATTCAGTGGATCTTTTGTTGGAAAACTGAAGAAAAAAGATTACCCCAAATGACTAATAACCTGAAAAAAAGGTAAGGGAAACTGTGGAATGCTTGCTAGCATTGAAAGGGAAAATCTTGAGAAGAAAAAATGGTGAAAAGAGAAGCACAGGAGAAGGAGTTTGGCAATGGAGGCTGCCTAAAACCCTTCCAAAAACCTATTCTTTCGTTACTAAGAATTAACAAATACTATCCGGGTTTTAATTTTACCTTATTGGCTGACCGACCCGACCCGTTACAGTAACTTTCGAGGGATGTATGGCACTGAAATTCAGAATTTCTTTTTATATTTTTAGTTTTTTATCCAAGAAATTTAGAATTTCCTCCAAACTCCAAAAAGAAAAAGATTATAATTTATTAAAATGATACCTATTTTATGGTATTCCACAAAACTTAATTTAATGATAATAATATGAAGCTTTTGCAATATTCTCTCATTTGGATATTGGACTTAAAGGTTTCGAGGTGAAATTATAGTTTGACTTTCTCTGTAAATTTATTTTTTTGTTATATTGTCGTATTTATCATTAAATAAATAAAATGAGAAAGAAATTGGATTGAAAATTGGCAAAACACTTGATAGATAGAAAGAAAAACGAAGGATTTAGCTTATAGAACAAAAACAATATAAACTAAAATTGGAAAAAGTTAAAAAGAGAACAAGAGAATAACTTTCATTAATAAACTTCAATTTTAATAAAATAAATAATATTAAAAATCACCAAATCTAACAAATAAGTTGTGCAAAAGTGTTGTTCAATCATGGGCCACAACATCTTCATAGGAGGAATCAAGACCACTAAAAAGTCAACAAAAATTGTCAATAAATATTTCTTTCTATCAAGAGTCCAAAGCATACACATATAACCTACAAATTGTGATTTTGTAGAATTTGCCTACATCTGACCATGCTTAAACCTCAGTCGTAAAATTACATTGTATATTGTGAAAGCTTCTAAATTTAAATTGTTACTTATTTACAAACTCATTTTTGTTTATTGTTTTGCTTATGATGGTTCATTTACGATAATAGAAGTCATTCACACAATTCAATCACATAAAAAAAAAAAATCAACTGAAGTAATTTTCTTCATCAAATAAGAGGGTATAATTTTGAAGGAAAAAAAATGTTTAAGGGACATGTTTACAATATTTGTTAGACTAGTTACGTGTGAATTTAACGAAAATGCAGCACATGACGTGTAAGTTAGAAGCACGTTTGGATCCTGCCATAGACAAACGCCTAGTATTTAAGTAAAGAAAGATAAAACGAGTAAGCTTTTATCCACCGAGTTTTGAACCATACATCAATGGTGTACTGCAAGAGGGGGGACAGTGAAAACCAACCAAATCTTACTATTCTATAACTAAATTATTCATTCCAAAATCTCTTCAATACAATTTCTAGTCCACACCCCCCCACACCCGCATG